CTTTTCTTCTGAGGACGAGGGAGCAGGCAATTTACGAAGCATGTGAGAGTTTGAGATAACCAGCCCGAAGTTGCTAAGGCACCTTTTGTCCAGAATCTTACATGCTTCTTCAGAAGAGAACTTATCTAGAGCAATTTCCTTTGATAGAAATATTTTGGTAAACAGCGGGGCATATGGAATTCCAATTCTTCGGGATGAAGTACTAATGATAAAACTGAGATGGGTCATCATTAAACCGGGAAGGTTAATAGGAACTTTGTTGGCTAAGAGGTACATGTAGGCTAGTTCAACTCTTGAGGGTGTGAACCTACCTTCTATCCTAGGAACCAAGTTGTGATGAACAAAATAAAACAGCAATTTAGGAATTGGAGCTAGGCTGGCGACATGGAGAGATGACTCGGAAATGGTTGGGTCAAAATATTCAAGTGCAACTGTTTGAGAAGTATCAGTTAGGGGCCATTCAGTTTTGTTATATGGGCATATACTAGTACAGGGAACATCTAAGATTCGACCCAAATCAGTGACATTCAACAGAATTTTGGTACCTTTCACTCTAGAGGATAATGCATTATCTTTGATAATGAGATTTCCCAGGAATTCTGAGACTAGTTCGGGATACATAGAGGAACAATTCTTGGAATCAAACAGGGTATCCCAATTTTGGGACGAAATAAGCTCAGTGAAATCAGAGGTTTTTCGAGTCAAATCATCAAAAGAAATGGAAAGTACCTTAACCATTCCTCAGGAGAGGTACTCTTCCGATAGTCGTGCGGCATATTCATCGACAACTCTCCCCATTTTAGGGCATTTCTTGGCTGATTCTCCTCCTGGGATGATGCCTTCGGCAATGGCTCTTTTCCGGGTGTACTTTTGAGGCAGAGCTTTTCCGTCGCGAGTGACTGGTTTATTCGTATGCGGATTAACTGGAGAGGAAATGGGAGAGGATGATGGGTTCGCTTCTTGTTCCCCCTGAGAAGATGCGGGGGACACTGGTAGTGAACCAGATGATTCGAAATGTTGGTTTTGCATGTTGGAAGGAGGAGTAGATTCAAGGTCAATCGGAGTGGGTAAAGATAGTTGTGGTGGTTGTCAGTTCCGTTTCCGACCAGAGCGTCGAAGTGCAGTGGGAGGAGCACTACCCCTGGTTTTAACCATGGTGGTTAGGGAAGAGAAGAAGAAAATAGTTATGGATGGTGGATGGATTTGGAAGTGGGCGGTCGTATAGGTACTTGGAAACCGAGTGGGGATCCTTTTACTCTTCCCAAATATTCTAAATGATTTCTTGCGAAGGAATAATTTCAAATTAATTTCCTAATTGAGGAAGTGGGCGTTTGTTTAGCTTTACTTACCAAAAAAGTTTTTACAGCTCTTTTATAATTTGTTATTTTTGGAAGTTCAAAGATCTGTTACGTCCATAAAGCAACTTACCTATTTTAAAACATCGAGTAAAAACAAAAATGGTTCCCCCTAGGTTATAAAGAAGGAAAGCAATTAAAATTTATGATCTAGAAAAACTTTACAAATTAAAAGAGGAAAATAAATTTAAGCATTGATTAGAACAAGTTCAAGTCGAATTAATTCAAACCTTTCTCTTCCCAGGGGCTTTGTAAAGATGTCAGCGATTTGCTTGTCGGTATTACAATATTCCAATTTGATTAGCCCCTTCTCCACGCAATCTCCTAGAAAATGATGATGGATATGGATATGTTTTGTCCGTGAGTGCATGACTAGATCCTCTGAGATGCTGATTACGCTTGTATTGTCACATACAATTGGCGTGCAAATCAAGACAACTCCATAGTCGCTTACTTGTTGCATGATCCATAATGACGGGGAACAGCATGATGCGGCTGCTACGTATTCAGCTTCGGCCATTGAAAGAGCAACTCAATTTTGTTTCTTAGAACTCCATGAAACCAAGCAAGGACCTAGGAAGTGGGCCGTTCCAGATGTGCTTTTCCTATTTAGTAAATCACCTGCAAAATCAGAGTCTGAATATGCAATAAGATTAAAATCCTCATTACGTGGATACCATAAGCATAGATGTATAGTTCCTTTGAGGTATTTGAGGATCCTCTTGACTGCTTTGAGATGTGACTCCTTAGGATTTGCCTGGAACCGAGCACATAGACCTACACTAAAAACAATGTCAGGTCTACTGGCAATTAGGTATAGTAGGGACCCGATCATTCCTCGGTACATCTTTTGGTCTATGCTTGTTCCCTTTTCATCTGCATCCAGCCTGTCATTTGTTCCCATGAGCGTTGTCATTGTCTTGCTTTCACTTGCTCCATACTTCTTGAGTAGTTCCTTAAGATACTTTTGTTGGGATATTTGGGTTCCTTTGCTTGTTTGTTTGATTTGTATACCAAGGGAAAAAATTATTTCTCCCATCATACTCATTTTGAACTCGGAGCTCATAAGAGAAGAAAATTCATCACAAAGAGAATCATTAGTAACACCAAATATAATTGATGGATCATCGGACCAGGGGGTCCGGAATCCACCGAGAATAAGAGAAGAGAGGGAGAGAGTGAACTGGTTTGCAAGTCTTACCATATAAAATTCGGAGTGCGATCAATTAAGCTTTCAAACCTCCCTTTCCACAAGTTGGAAGGTGATATTTATACTAAGGAGAAAAGAAAATACTTGGTGCCCAAGTAATAAGATGCTAGTCTAATAGGAGAGGGGCACGTGTAAAGCTACTCTAACAAACTAACAGTCTAATTCGATGAGGAGCAGCCACGTGTAAAGCTGATTGGAGAGAGAGAGTCTTCAACAGCTGGCTGATCGGAGTTTGCTCCTAACAGAATTGCTGCCATAAATCCCGTGTGGTTAAGCGTGGGTAACTGAGAATATTCCCTGGTGACGTGGCGGTTCCCTTTGTGAGGTGGATCCTTGCGGATTTTGTCTAAGTCCATGGTGCTTTATTCAGACCTCGGGGTATTACTGAGGTTGATACCTGGGAGCTCGGGCCCGTGATGGGAGGACTTGCCTCCCAGGTGTTTGACTGCCTGATGCTTGACTGTCATTGACCAACTGTTTGACTGTCGTTAACTTCCGGGGCCAGACCTGGTCCCGACCTCGGATGCGTCGAGGTTGGGCTCATAAGTTGTCGAGTTCAGTTGATTCCTGAGCCTGATGTCTTCCAAATTTTGGGGTCGGGGTCGGGCTCTGCAAGCCTTGTCATTCGTTGAGTTTGATTGATTCCTGAGCTTGGTGCTTTCCCGACCTCGGCGGTCGGGTCAGTCTTGGAGTGTGGACTTAACATTTTGCGTACTTCAGAATGCGTCCGTGATATTTTATACCGGCGATTATGATACCCCTGGGGTATACGGGAATATACTCCATCATGAGTCCCCCACTCTCCGCAGTGAAAGTGAAACTTGAGGTGAGAGAGAGTAAATCTGCAATTTCCTGGGCATGTTCACCCGGCAGGGGTGCTGCTCTTCCATGGTCATGACAAAGGGGTACCTCATTAAAAACTCCGCTGAGGAAAAAAACCTCTGGGAAAAAATCCTAACGGAGGAAAAGAGTATACTCCGCTTTACCATGAAGTCCGGAGAGGAAAGCGACGCCCCGCTGCAGAGAAGTATGAGCTCGAGCTCTGTGTATTCCGCGTTCCAAACCTGCCTCATGGGTTAGTTGCTACGACCGCGGCCCCGACCGCGGGTTGATAAAAATTTTGAATGTAAAGAATTTTAATGTATGTGTGTAGCCATGTTTTTCGAAGATATACCTGTTTTGGTGCTGATCCTGAGGTGATCGCGTTGTTCTGAGCTTGTTGTAGTCTTGCTTTTGTTGTTTGATTTCTTTCCCGAGTCCCCCACTTACCAGTCCCCCACTCTTGTGGACTTAGAATATTTTCTAAGTGCGGAAGAGTATGAGTTTGAGGGGGATGAGGCAGTTGCATTTATCGCTTGGTGGACTTGGGAGAATTTGTGGCGTGTAGTAACGTTGATGTGTATAAATAGGAATCTTTACACATTCCTTTTGCAACATTGAATTAATAGCCGCTTCTCAGCATTTAATGCGAGGGATGGCGTTTGAAGTGATTATACGGCGCCATCATTGCAGTTTTTGCACGCCTTTTCGAAAAAACCTTTGAGTTTTTGGGCGGCTGGAGAGTATTGCGCCACGTGTAAGCTTCCCGTTTATTTTTGAAGGGAAGTATAAAAGGCGAAAGCTCTCGTCTTTCTCCTTTGCGCTTTCTTTTGTATTCGAGTTTCCAAAGTTTTCAAGCATTTCAAGAGCTCGTCTTCTCCGGTCATTGCTTGCGATGTTTCAGTTTTCTCCATCGACTCCCTGAACCAGGTTAGTCTTCGGCTCTGTTTGCTCATTTCTTTGTCTGTCGTAGCTTAGCCGGAAGAAACCCAGAATAAGGGTTTTTCCGTCAAATCTGGCTCTATGAACAATGGAGGGTTTACAGTCCCCCATTCTTGATGAGGTTGGCACCTCTGGACTCGGAATCGCATGCTGGTGCTGATTCGAGTATTTAATTTTCATTTGGAGGTCGGATTATTGGTTTTCAACCCCGAAATTTGACTGTCTGTATGTACATGTGTTTTTCTGCAGATTTTGAAAAATGTCTTCCCAAAGTGCTTCTGCTAATACCAGGGACCGGGCTAGCAATGATCTACCACTGGGGTACGACGATGCTGCTGCCCTGAGGGAGGCTGGCACTAGTGCAAAAAACACATTCTATAACTAGCTTTTAATATGAGTTTATTTAGAACCATTTTAATATGTAGGTGCAGGGTCATGTTTATAAATAATGAAAGTTTGAAGTAACTTTTTTGGGTACATATTATAAATATAAAGTTTCAATTATAATGGTTTTAGAAATAACCGACATAGATAAGAAAAACGGGGTCATTTATATAATTTTCGCAAACTTATGTTTGAAACAGGGTCTTTTGTAATTTTCAAAACTCCTTTTCAATGTCAGCTCATTTTTAACCCTTATCAAAATATATGTGTAAGATAAAAGTTAAACAAACAGCGATGGGAACTCCCATAAGAACTAACGAGTAGGGCCTCTCTAGACCTGCGCAGCCTTCATCGACGGAATACATGAAGCCTGTACGGCAGCCATGCCGCCGGCGGAAGGAATCGGGGTGGTGAATTCGCAGACGAAGACCTCTTACGCTGCGGTGGTAAGGGATCCTATCCCCGTCCAACGATTGCACACTTAGGCTTGCTCCTTCTCCCACGCATCGGACCTGGGCTCATCCGGAATCTTCAGAGGGTTTCCATCGATTTCCTTCTATGACGATGATTTACAGGTTCTCTCCCATCCTTTCCGTTTTTCACTGGTTGGTTCTTTCCCCTCTGGTCGCCCCCCCTCCCTGCGATTCGTAAAGCGTTTGAACAGTTAGGTTTTTCTGAGGCCTATTCAGTTGGTCTGCTTCACTCAAACATTATTCTGATAAATTTTAAATTAGATCTTGATTTTCACAAATTTTGGGAGAAAAAAACATGGGACTTCTTTGGATACCAGATGGTGGTTACCCGATGGACTACCAGTTTCTCTATCGAACGTGATTCACCTCTTGCCCCGATTTGGATTTCGCTCGACGGACTCCCAGTCCACCTACATGATTTAAGAGCCATTAATTCTATTGCTAAACTTTTGGGGAAGACAATACGAATTGATGCTCATACAGCAAACTTTTCCAGACCTTCCACAGCCTGGATTTGTGTTGAATTAGATACCTCACTTGAGCTGCCCCCAAAAGTCTGGATTGGCTACGGTGCCACTAGTTTTTTCCAGACAATTGTTTATGAAAATATTCCTTTATTCTGTCATAATTGCTCTCGTTTAGGCCACAGTGTTGTTAATTGCCCTTGGGCAACTAGACCTTTGGTGCCTAAAAGCCAGGTTTGTGACCCCGTGATTTGTAATTTTTCAAAAGCTAGTGTTTCCCCTAATATTGTTGCTCGAACCCCGGAAGCCTCTGTTAATGTATTGGATGCCCCTGCTATTATTGATGGTGTCCCTAAAGTCCCGGTTGCCCCTGTTATTGATGTTCTTGATGCTTGTCCTAAAGTGACGCAGGTTACCCATGATGTTTTGGCTGCTGAATTTGCAGTCACCTTTGATTTGGCGGTTTTGCGGGCTGATTTCACAACTACCACTGAAATGGCCTCTACTCAACCCCCTGTTAAGTATTCAAATGAATGTACCCCTACCAGTGTATTTTGGTTTTCTTATTTTTCTGCAGTTCTTGTTGTAACTTCACTTTTAGTCAAAGTGGTGAGGAAGGTAGTTAGTTGGGGATACATGTGCTGCTTTTATTCTATATGTGAATCTTATCCCCGCATATTTGTTAAACTTGTCATTGTTAGTGCACATTAGTTAATATATATCTAGATTATAAAAGTGATTATCAGATTCTAGCAAGTAGAAACACTACTATTAAAGTTAGTATATCAAACTTAGTACCAAACTAGTTAATATCTATTAATACAGAAAGAGGACTGGAAAGCACAAAGCACAAAAGAAGTCTGGAAAATAGAAAAATAGAGTAATAAAACAAATAATTAAACAAATCTACCATATGAGTGGTTAAGCTAAATACTTTATAGATGAGTGGTTAAATACTTTACACATGAGTGGTTAAGCTAAATTCCGGAGACCGGACCTCTTATTTCAGCATGGAGGGAGTATTTGTTAACTTGTGATCAAATATTTGCCTGGTTTCTTTTACTTCAGATATTGTAGTTTGTTGTGTACTGGATTAGATGCTCGAAAAGCTGGCAAGACAGGTCTAGCTAGTCCAATATACGAATGGGCTCTTTCTTCCGCCTCAGATGATTTTGTCTATTTATGTGGTATGTTGTCACAACTCTTTTTTAAAGGCTTGTAAATGGAAGAATCTCATGGATCCCTCTTACTCTCTTATTAATTTCTTTTATGTATTTAATATTTTATTAATCACTTAGTGTAGTTCTGTGTTACTTGGGATTTTGCATTGCATATAATTCATGATTTGAAATGCTTGGAGGAGGAAGTTGTGGGGCCTAATTTATGTTGGTTCATAAGCAACCGTGATTGTATATACACGTGGGATCAAATTTATAAAAGAGACAGAAGAGACTTGACTTTCATTTGGTCAGTTGAAACATGAAACACATATGACTAAACTACCACTACTTGCAAACTCAACCCTCTCATCTAATTAGTCCGAATCGAAGGGTGCCAACTTAAATAGGCTGTTGATATGACTGTTGATATTTTCACGTCCCTTGAATTAAGCATTCAATTATTAAAGGTTCGGCTCCCATGATTGCCTCTCCTCTCATTAACAGGTTTGTTATCAGCAGCTTAAGGTTGTATTTTCCCTAATAGTGTTGTGCATAAATTCTTTTCTTGACCAGAGTATGGATCAAATTTCTAGATATTTCACTTCTTAAGCTCATTAAAGAACTGCAGTTTCTTCTTATGTGACTGGTTGTAGTAGTGATAGTAGTATCAACATCCTCATCCCTGCTATGTTGTGGTCCATTTATATTGTTTTATTTGTTAGTTTTATCAAACCCTCTGTCAACTTTTCTGATTTACTATTGGGGAAGTTTTGCTGTGTTGTTTTCATCTCAGTATGTTATAGTGAGAGTTGCCCATCTCTTACTACCATTGATTGAGATATTCGTCAAGTAATAATACATATGAAGTTATTTTTTGGGTATTTCAACCTTTGTGTATAATAGACTTTGCCAAAGTTATTGACCTCTTGGTGACACCACAAGTTCAAGCTAGATATAAGTCATGACTTTGGACAACAAATAATTGATAGCATATGCAGTGCAGGTACCTTGAGTTAATAAAATGAAGCTCAGATGTTCTATTATAGGTAGTATATGTTTTAAATGGAGCATTCTTGTTGTTTTTGACACTTAATTTGGATCAAAGAGATCATTAGAATTATTAGTTCATTTGTTTTAATGTGATATTAATGTTTCTATTTTTACAGTCCTTGTTATTACATTTATATGTATGTTTATATTAAATACTTTTTCTGTTTTGTTTTTCAGGACACCTTTAGAAGAATATTAAATGAAGTTGAGAAAGTTGTTGGTTTTTTAATTTATATTACATCAGACACAAGTCACAGATGGAAATATGGAAAGGACACAAGCTATCGGTACATAAATATGGATGCTTAGAAATGTAAATATACACTTTGACCCTTGGCAGAACAATGGTTTTGTTTGAAGTTGTCAGAACAATAGTTGGCCAGTGATATCTATATAATATAGTAAAACACAAAAGTCCCAAGGAGGGAGAACAATAGATGGCTTGAATATTCTAGAATGAGAGCATGTTAGGGTAATTATAAACGGTGCTTTAGATGTTCTCAATAATGGCTGGAGAGCTAATTTAATTAATGCAATTCTGAAGCAATACCGAGGCATGTTAGAGTAATTAAACGGTGCTTTAGATGTTCTCAATAATGGTTGGAGAGCTAAATTAATTAATGCAAAGTGAGGTCCTTTGAGTTCCTCAAATGTACATACATAAAACCTCTATGGCTTTAAAATTTTGTTTCAATAATTAAGAGCTAAAGAAATCAACCGAGCCCATGTAATCAAACTTGTGCACGGTTTTCAACGTGCTAGCATTTAATACTATTTGTAAGTAAGCAATAACACTTCTAATATAAATAGCCCATCGTATGGATTTTTTCTAGTCATAATTTTTTCTACCCATCGTATTGAAGTCTGTTTGAAGAAATTGTTCATACTCTGTGCTAGCCAAGCAACTACTGTCAGTATGGATTTTTTCTTAGATTCTTTTTTCACTCTTCCAATAAAATAAATCTCTTCCGAATGAAGTGTTGTTTGCAGCAATTGGTCATACGGTTTAGATAATTTTGCTTTGAAATTGTTTTTTCGTGAAGATGTCTCCAACGTCATGCATGCATCAAACCGTTGAACTTCTTTAAAAATACGAATTAATAAATAAAAATAACGATTGAAGTGTCTCTTGGGATTCCCAAGAGTAGACACAATAAGTGGACCTTTAGTTACCGAAGTAATTAAGTAAAACGGAGCATTAAGTATTATTCCATAATAAACAGCAACAACAATATTGGAGGATATAGCTGCCTTTTGCAATCATCGATGAGAGATATTTTCTTTTTTGATACGCCAATTCATTGAGTAAGCACTGAACAAATGGTCATCAGGCCGCTTCAGGTTGAGCATCAAGGATATCTGCCCATGGAACTAATCTACTCATCTGATATTGAGATGAATATTATGTCAAAAAAATGGCTTTCAAATTTTCTGGCCTTTTCTTTGCGTATTAAACTTGTGTGTGTTTCTGCTGCATTTGAGATTAGATCTCTTAAAATCATTACAAATAAAATCACTTACTATGTAAAAATGCATATTTTGTTCTTTTATAGGCATATAGATATATTTCAGTTATAGCTTCCGATTGCCTCATTTTGCAGCTTTGATTCATTGGATGTAAGAAGGCAAAGTTGTTAACAAAAAACGGAGTTATGGAGATTCAAAATTGGTGGCCCTTGATATTGAGGTTGGTGCGGTTATATACATGTCTGGAATATTTTATTGCAGTGAATACAACAACAAAGAATATGACTTTAAGACTGCCTTGAGATTGATGTAGCTGACTCTTTTGCATCTAAAACATAATCTTACATACGGAGTATTAAGCAGTATTGAGCATAATAACAAGCTGTCAATAAGTATTCATTGTAGGGTGAAGGATCAATGCAACAATAAAATACAAGCAGATGGAGCAGTTTAAAAGAGTTCTTAAAGGAGACAATATATGATCTGGGGCAAAGTGGTCGAATTTATTTAGTTCTAAAACTTCAAAAGGTTCTATGCTAAATGTTAAATTCTGATAAAAAAACATGGGCACATTATTTCTTTTGTATACAAGTAGAATCATAATTTTAATGCACCTCTCATATGTTTCATCGAATTACCTGTACGTATTTGTGGTTTTAATAGCTTTTGAAATTTTAGCTTAATTGAAATTTGAGAATAAGTGCATGGTTTTTTCTTTCTTCAAGTTCCAAATTAGGAACAATTCATTAAACTTATATGGAATTGAACAGTAGTAGAAGATAATTTCCATTAAAATAGTGTAGTTGATAATTTATAGGGTGTGTCATAAATCTCACAAATTAAAATGATCTTAAAATTCATTGGAAAGATTCAAAATGAACTAAACTCTGTACATGGTTTTTTTTTAAAATGATGTGATTTCCACCCGTAACCCAAAAAATTGATTTACATCAATATCAACATTTTAGAGTTAAACAAATTAAATTTCTGAATATTTAATTTTTATTCGCCTCGATGTTAAATTCTAAGATTGAAAGAATTTGCTTAATCATGTACTCAGGATAGAACAACGTCTAACATCATCCTAACCGATTGTTAAAAAACATGCTTTAACCGTTAAATATATAATTGTCCCATACCTGATTGATAACATCACAAAAAAGAATACGAGACAATTATTATTGAACATAGAGAGGAGTTTTTTTGAAAGATTATTTTACTTTGTAGTTGAAAAACACAATAGATTTTATTTTGGTCCACTCAAATATAAATATATGAACAATGTACTCAAATATAATTCACAGGTTACTAAGCAGTGCTAATTAAGACTTGCATTAATAAGCGGCGTGTAAAATAAGTAGTGCTAAATAAACTCATATTTACCTCACAAGATTTAAAACACCGTTTAACATTAAAATGTTCAAAATAATTCAATGTATACATAGACACAAACATTCATGTGCACATGTATATATGTATATAATATGGGGGACCTAACTCTACCCCAACCACGACCCTTGAGTAGGGGGTCACGGTAAGGGGTGGGGTACGAGGTAGGAGGTAAGGGGGCAGGGGTTACGGGGAAGGGGTACAGGGGGTTGAGGGTAGGGACTGAGTTAGGTATGGGGTCGGGATAGGGGTAGGCGTAGTAGGGTTGGGGTCGGGGGAAGGAGTATAGGGGACGGGTAGGGGTGGAGTGGGGTATGGTCGGGGTAAGGGTAACGCGTACAGGTACCCCCAAGTAGGTATAGTTATGGGTAGGGGTACGAGCACTGGATCGGGGTAGGTGTAGGGAGTGGGGTTTAGGGGTACGGATAAGGGAAGGGCTAGGGGGAAGGGTACGGGTAGGGGAAGGTAGTTTTAGGGGTAAGGGTAGGGGTAACAGTAGGGGTAAGGGAAAGGGGAAGGGGTAGGGTCAACACCATACTTAATCTGTATGTGTGTACTTCACAAGTCTTACTAACCTAACCGTAACTTTAGCAGTGAAGTAACACGATCTAAATTGTTAACATTATTTTCATTCTTAAGTTATTTATTGTAAGTGAATGAACTAAATGTATCGGAGAGATGTTACTATTTTTTGTTAAAATTATTTATTGGAAGAATTCTTTTGAAAGGAAGAGGTATGGGAGATCAAGTATTAATATCAAGTTTTAAAGATGACTGTTATGTCTAACGGTGTCATATGCAATGACGATAAACAAAAATCAAGAACCGTATTTGTGTAATAGTGATTGGTCAATTATATGTTGATTTAAAAGATGGTAGAAATATTAATATAACAAAAATGTATATCAAAATATCTTTCAAATTTTTTAAACATTTATCCATTTTATATGTCGTATGGATTTTCACTTACATATTTATTTTCTCCATTTTATCATATTTCATATTTCAATATGCTCTGTATCACATAATGACATGTTAGAGTTGATTTCCCGTGCATCGCAGGTGCAGAAGATCAAAACCTATATGATAGTCAATTGTATTTACTCCCCGTTCTGTGATATTTTATTTACTTTCCTTATATGGATGGTTTTATTATACATAGTACTATATTTTTGGCCTTTTTCCATGATTGCAAGGAACATTATAGTGGTTTGTAGGTAATGTTACCATGATCATTACTAATTGCTCTTAAATTTCAAAATAATTATTTATAGAAATTTAATGTCCCGTGCATCGCACGGGTACTGTACTAGTTGCTACAATAAAATAGTTATGGTACTAAATGCTATGTTATTTACTTTTGATTTCTGTACTTCGGTTGCTCAAATGAGCCTATTGTTCTTTTAGTATGAATTAGAAATTTTATTATGTAGCAAATTTAAATAAAAACATTACATTTTAAAATATAAAATCACTTATATATATAAGTGACAGAAAATGTGATTATTTTTTTAAAAAAAAATCGGCTTTCAATAACGGTTGGTGGTTTAACCCATATAAAAAAGATTTTATATGGGGTATTACTGGACTGACATGGAAAACATTCTATAACGGTTAATTTCGTAACCGTTATAAAAAACATTCTATAAGGGGTACGACTACCTGACACGAAAAGTGTCCGACTTTCTATATCGTTTGCTACTATGTCGTTACGGGAACCAACATAAAAATGCTTTGTAACCCATATAGAAAGTGTTTTCTACACTAGTGTGGTCTCAACGATGACCTTGTGGATGCAATCTCCGCCCTTGAAGTCGTGCCCTTGAACACGCGGTCAGGCCGTAGGGCGCCTGCCAAGAAGAACGTCAAGGGTAATCCCGATTTCTTTACTTTGGATGGTTTTACCGCTTCCGCAACTACATGTTCCCTGTCTGATAGAGAGTGGGAGGAAGTGAGGCGCTTTTGTGGGCCTAGTGTTGTTGTGATGAGGCCGGATGCAGGTGAGCTGCCTTCTTCTTGCCCTTCGGGGTTCTTTGCTGTATATTATGACGCTGTTAAGCATGGTTTCCGATTCCCTCTGCATCCATTCTATGCCGAGTACTTGGACCGGGTCGGCCTGCTTCCCAACCAGCTCACTCCGAATGGTTTCTACTACATCGCCGCTTTCCTCATGCGCTGCCTGGGATCAAATATTGCTCCCAGTGTGGGTCTTTTCCGTTGCCTGTTCAACATTGGCCGCATTTCCTCGAAAGGTAACCAGAGCTATGCTTCCATAGCCCAGGTCGGGGGCCGCAGTGGTTTCACTGACGCCCCGACCTCGCACCGTGGATGGAAGGGTAGGTTCTTCTATGTCTGTACGAATCGTCAAGCAGAGTCGGCGGTGTCCCCGTTTTCCACCGATGTCCAGATCCTCACCCGAGAATCAGTGATTGCTCGCAAGCACAATGCGAGTGATCTGGGCGAGTATGCCGATGATGTGAGGAAGTATTTAAAGCTCGGTCAGAGCGAAATCGGAAAATTTGTTACCTAGAAGAGGATCAGGGAGGTCCTGAAATGAACCAGCTTCTTGCCCTTGGCGGTGTTGGGTGACGAGGGTGTGGTTGCCGTTGCTGCCCCAGTTGCGGACAAGGGGGAGGAGACGTAGCTCCTTCTTCGGCAGTTCCGGTGATTGAGGGCCCTGTGCCCGAATTTGGGGTTGTTGCCCCGCCGGATTCTGAGGAGGATGAGGAGGGCGAGGCTACCCTCCTATATGGGGAGAGGGTTGAGAAAGTGGGGCAGATTCCAGATCGAGCTGCTACCCAGCCTGAGGCTCGTGCTGCCCCTCCTGGTATGCATATTTCTCCTTGTAATTTGTAACTCTTGTTTTGGGGTCTCGCTGATGTTGAGCCTTTTTTGTACAGGTTGCCCAAACATATTTGCTCTGTTGGATCGAGTTCAAAAGGAGTTTGCTCAGAAGGAGCAATCTAGGTCCTTCCCTAGCGAGTCCTCCTCCTCTTATGAGGAAAGTGATGGTGACATCGCAGGTTCTGCACACGATTCCCTAGCTGAAGCTGATCCCCCCGCTGCTTTTGCCGAGACGGCCCGTGGCCCTCATGAGGATGAGGTGAAGGCCACCACAGGATATCAGCATGATGCTGGTCAGGGTGTCGCCCTGGGTTCCCCTTTGCTGGGGTCTCCCCCTGGCTAGGATGCTGTCACCAGTGGGGATGTCGGGGTGGAAGACATGGACGTGGATATCCCTGCTGCCATTCCTCCGAATAATGTTGAGCCTGCTAGCATACCCCTCCCCCAACCAAATGTGGTGGTTGTGGAGAGCGAGAGTGAAGATGAGGAGCCACGGCAAGAGCAGGTCCATATGGTCCCTGGAGGTGGTGGTGGCGCCTTCTTCTGTGGTGCTGCAGCGGGGCGACAGGTCCCCGCTTGTTGTGCGAGAGGCACAGCATTCACAGGTGCTGCGGAAGCCACCTGACGGATAGGGGATGAGTTGATTGTGATACCCCGAAAATTTAAACAAAAATAAAATAAAAATAAATCAGATAAAATATATCTGGCAAATTAAATGAAAATAAATGTTAAAATATTATAAGTAACTTTATAATTAAACACCAACACTGTTAGCAAATGTGTTAAAAATTATAAATGGACATTTTGTACTACAGGACTGATTTGGTCTAGACCGAAAATGTAGAAACAGTACATTACAGAGTATGTCCCAAACATAATGATATAAGATGAAATAAAAATCATATACGGAGTATAATATATATAACACACACATGATACACATATTAAAGTATTAATGCGTATTTTGGTAAGATATAAAAATCATATACAAAATATATATAAATAATATATATACATAGAAAACACATACATCTATTAAAGTATTAATATGTAGTTTGATAAGAAAATATTAACAATGATACTCATCAAGATCTGAAAAACATCTTCACATGCTAGGAACCAATCTCATGATCTCACACCTACCATATCATGTATATACATTATGAATTATGAATATGTATTATAAAAATAATTCACATAACTCACACAACTCACGAGGCTCGTTCTATAGTTATAAATAAAGATATCTTTCCATTCTAAATCACTACAAACTGAAAAAACCGAGTGAGAACACCTATATACATATATATATACATATAGGTCGCCGGAGATATACACATATATATATATATATTTACGTAAGAAATTTCTTATAAACAAGATAGGAGGGTCGTGAGAGGTCTAGGAATACTTCCCAATAAATTCCAGACCGATTCGTAGTCACCAGAGCATCCTAGAGCTCGCCGGAGTTACAAGTCGTGGAAGCGGGTCTTCAGCAAAAGCAGATATTTTGTCGTAGATAGGGGTGGCGGAGCTTCGTCTTGCGGTCAGTATCATTTTGCAACTTGAATCATCGAAATCCGTTACCTGTAAGTCAAGTTATAGCTCGCCGAAGTTTCCTTAATTTTCCGGTCGCCGGAATAACGACCTGGAGAAGAATGGGGAGGAAGACAACCCAGTCTTCTTGGGCCGGGTCAGTCTAATGGGCCAGTTCGGCCCAGTTTCAATAAAAATTAAAAATAAAATAGTAAATGAAATAAATAAAATCTGGAAAAATATAAATTAAATACCTAGTATAAATATACATATTCGGACCAACCATAATTGAAAAATAATATTTTTAACTATTTTTAATTGATTTAATTGTAATTGGGCCAATTTGTACATATTTAGTAAATAATTAACTAAATGACGAAATAAATTATGAAATAATTATTGGAGTAAACTAGATTAAATATATGACTAACCAGGACATTTGGGACCATTTATATTTAATAAAAATTATGATTCGTATATTTATTTGTAATTAAACCTGTTAATAGATATATGAAATTAAATGAATAAATAAGGGAAATAACTCTAAAATAAATATATGGACAACCTAGGTCAAATATAGACCCAAAATATAGTTATGGACGGTTATAAATTTATAAAGTCGATTCTTAAGCTATTTAATTTAATTGGTCCATATAAAACTAGTTAAGTAATTAAATAAGAAAATTTGAATAATAATGGTGAAATAAATAAAATCACTAAGATTGGAAATAATATTCTGGACTAAAATGAGGTTTGGACTAAAATAAGGAAACGAAAATAAAGTTGGGATAGCTAGCATAAATCAATGACTATATTTGGACTTAATAAATAAATTATTAAATTAGTGGACTAATTAAATTAGTGTGATTAAATTAATAATTATTATCCTTGATTATTATTGATTTGGACTCCATATAAATTATTAAACTATTTGAACTCATAAAAATTAGTTGATTAATATAAACAAATTAATTAAGTAATGTGTACTTAATAATTTAGTTAATTGACTTCATTGGACTAGTTTAACTAAATCAATTAGTTTAATGGATAAATTAGTTAAATTATGGACGTGGTAATATTTTTGGACTTTATATTAAAAATAGAAAACTAACACGAAATTAGAATTTGATTATTGGCCTTAATTGAATTAGATTAATGTATTTAGCTATATTGATATAATTAAACTTATTTATTTGATTTAGTTAGTTCAATTAAATTAGTAAATCAAATAAATAAAACTGGAGGAATGAATTAATTAATTTAATTGGGTTAGTTAGTATAAATAAACTATTGAACTAATTAAAGTTGTTATTGAGATTAGATTATCATTAATGATTATTATTTCGAATTATTGCTTACGTCAAATTATTATTAAAAGGTTTATTAAATAAATTATAGAAATTATGTAAACTAAACTTTGAACTGAAATTTATTATTTAAATTCGAAATAATGAAATTATTATGTAGTTAATATAATTAGACTTGTTAACTAATTAATCAAATAAATTAAAGTAAATTATGGAGGGATTAGTATGAATCTAACTTAATAGTTATATTTAAAGAAGGAATTATGAAATTAAAATAATTAAAGGTTGGATAGATAGGAAATAACAAAAATAATAGAGTAGTTATTGATTTAGAATTTTGATATATATTAGAAGGAGGATTCAAGTGAAGACCAAAGCTAGAGATTTTATTAAGGGGATTATCGCAATCTAAGGTAAGTTCTATGTCAACCAAAAATGTTTTATCTCATACTTATATGTATGCAATGTTTGAACTATGTGAATTATTTATGAATTGGAAACTATTTATTTGACATGGAATGAATATTTTGAATGTATGAATATTGGTGGATTATTATCTATTATGGATTATTAAATGTATATTCTTTTTATTAAAGAATATTGGTGGATTGATATTTATTACAAAGTATATTTTTGGAAAAGGTGACAAGAATGACTTTGGGAGAAACTTAAAGTTTTTCATAATATACTTTTACGTCTCGAGAGAAACACGAGGCGTGAGTGATTAGGACTACTACTACTTTTGGTGAAATTTATTTGGGTCGGTAACCAATCTGGCAATGACATGCTCCGGTAGACATCCCGGGCTTTTATTTGAGGACCAAAGGTCCTTTGGTGGTCGTAGTAGTAGTTACCTAATTTACCCTTGGACAATTTCCCTTGTGAGTAGGTGGTAGAAAACATCCTGCCTACTTGAGTTTCTTACTACTCGGGGGGCTTGGAATCCCTTTTAGAGGGTGTGCACACTTAAGGTAGAAATTCACTTAAGGTATAATTATCTTTATATATTATATTAAAATTTAGAAAATAAGTATGTTACTAGTATATAATAATAATATGTGTTGAATGGGAACTACTACACAAGAGTTGCAACCATAAATAAATACAAAAGGAAGGAAGAATACCCGGCCCACTCCTTAGCTTCCATCATCCAAATTCAATAATGGTTCTTGCATATTTTTTTAAATAAATAAATAAAGACAAGGGGTTTAAGCTTCATAGACTTTGCATTCCTCATCACTGGGGTTGGTCTTGCAGAAATCGTCCAAGGGGTCTTCACTTGCAGCGGCAGCAGCAGCGGCAGACCTGCCCGGCCACTTCCTTGCCACTAGATGTGCCAAATCCACCACCCGTTGGCTGCAAAATGTGCCACTACCATATTAATATATTCATTGTTTGGAACAGCTAGCTAGCCTGGCCTAGCTATGATATTATTAAGATGGAGGTTGCAGTAAGTAAGTACATACGTACCTGTATCCCCACTCATTGTCATACCATGCCACAACTTTGACCATATCATCACCCATCACCATAGTCAACGACGCATCGATGGTGGAGGACACGTCGGTGCTCCGGAAGTCAGCCGAGACGAGGGGTAGGTAACAAACGTCCAAAATTCCCTTCAGAGGACCCTCCGCTGCCTTTCTGAATGCTCCGTTCACGTCTTCCGCCGTCACCCCTTTCTTCTCCACGTTCACCACCAGGTCAACGACCGAGACGTTAGGGGTTGGGACCCGGAGAGCGATTCCGTTTAGCTTGCCTTTCAGCCTCGGCAGCACCAGAGACACTGCCTTGGCTGCACCCGTGCTCGTCGGCACTATGTTCAGTGCTGCCGCTCTCGCTCTTCTCAAGTCCCTGTGAGATGCATCTAGAAGCCTCTGCATCCATGCGTACACACACTCAAACCAAACCCTTCTTTACCAGGCCAACTCCTTGGGATTCATTGAAAAAAATTAAAGGGGGCTTCTAACCAACATATATATAGGCAGCCTACTCTATATATACATATACGAAGTATAAATTTACTTTTTACGTTTGTTCATTATCGTTTGTTTATTTATTTCTATTTCATTACATTAGCACTAACTATGGTCTATGGAATCAAAACATATGTAAAATCATTTAAATATCAATCATATTTTATTTATCTTTACATTTTCCCAGTTAAGATGAAACACAAGAAATAAAATAGCTCTTGATGACATATTTCTTTCTTTCTTTTCCATAGTATTATCTGGGTTTTCTATATTGTATTTGTACTCCGTGGTTCTTTTATTAGGAGGGACTCTTGTTATGTTATTAATACCTGATCTCCAGTGTAAGAGTGGGTTGTTGTCATTGTTCCCTTAACAATACCTACAAAAAAAGAGGGGAGATTAGTTGGGGTATATATTTTCGAAACCAGAGACACTGTGATCAAATTGTGAGGGATCATTAACAAATTCTTTCCTTCAAGCTAGGGGGTGTTAGGGTCCTTTTAATATGATGGAGAAAAGTACACAGGATCCTGGATCTAGACAAATTTGGAAGGAAAATAAAATCTGACTATGCAAGTGACAAAAAAACATTGGCTCAAGGCCAATAGTTTTATTTCTGATATTTGTTCAAACTCATTTGCTTTTGGAAAAAATCTATTCAGTTTATGTTTTTTTATGCTTCTCTACTTTCCTCTGGTGTTTTCCGTGTTCCCAACCCAACCTAAAAATGAATAGTTTTCCATATCCATTACAAATCTGGCAACACATTCCTTGTTAGTTATTCTATAATTTCTAAAATAAAGCGTCAGTACGTACCAAGTTCCTCATCCATGACCTTAACAAAAGGAGCCAAACAATTAGTAGTGCACGATGCATTGCTGCAATAGAGACCAAAAAAAGAAACAAACTGTTAATTGATCATCATTAGTTTGTCGGAAAAGCATTGGGGTGGAATGGAAGAAAGTTGCCTGATGATGTTGGAGATGTCATGGTAGTAATCCTGTTCATTAACACCAACAACATAGGTTGGAATATCAGCACCTTTAGCTGGTGCAGTGATTATGACTTTCTTAGCACCTGCTTGGATGTGCTTTCCTGCTCCTGGACCATCCACAAACACACCTGTTCCCTCAATGACAATGTCAATGCCCAAATCAGCCCACGGAAGCTTGAGAGGGTCCCGATTAGAGACGACCTTGATATGCTTCCCATCAACAGATATGGTCTCGTTGTCAATTATCTTTACGTCTGCTTTGAATGTTCCCAACATGGTATCATATTTGAGCAAGTGAGCGGCCTGTATCCATATATAAATGCGCTTTTGGTTAGGTAGCTTGATCATTGAATTTTGGATGTGGTTCCATTTAGATCAGAATAATTAACAATATCGGAATTTGAGCAAGTGAATTCTTTTGTTCATTTGATTTCTTGGTGTTTAGAACTGATTCTGCTTTAATTTCTTTTCTAAAAGAAGAAGAAGAATCAGTTTTCTCAACTTTTAAAAAATGCTTCATAGAAGTAATTTGGAGCAGAGTAATTTGGTACTTGTGCACTAGCTATCACCTTAAAGCAGATCCAAACACCCCTCAACAAACCAAAGTTTTCAGAGCTGATTCTTTGAATTAATGAATTGATGGAAGATGAGATGTATGGAGTGAGTGACGTACGCTTTTGACACCGGCACTATCGTTGACAACGACGACCTCAAGCGGGGAATCATTGCGGCCATGCCAGCACCGCAGGAAGTTCCTACCGATGCGTCCAAAGCCGTTGATGGCAACCTGTAGTTTGGCAACCACCGATACTCCTCCACCCTGCTGCTTTGATCCTGCACTCTAATTGCACATCACCGGCCTTTAAATTGTCAGCTGATGAATGGATGCATCATATCATTTACTACCACTACGTATAATCCCTTACTTTGGAAGTGAGTTGAGAAGCCACAAGACGGGAGAAAGAAGAAGAAGAAGAAGAAGCTGCAGCTCCTGGCCTTGCGGAAACACAACCACTCGATTTGAGACCACAAAACTCAGGTGCCTCCAACACCTGCATGAAACGATCTTAGTTTTAGAACAAAAACAAGAAACAAATCACGATGGGTGGAAACAAGCAGCAGCTAGCTAGTGACTTGAAATGATGATCGACCTTGGGGCAGGTTTTGGAGCGGAACTTGGGGGTGATTGTTGAGTAAGGAAGAGCTGCTGCAGCCATTGCTGATCGATCGAAAGCTTCTAGCTAGCTACCCAAGCTTCACTCTCTCTCACACACAAGCTTCCTAGCCGGCCGGCCGGCCTGCTTTAGTTTGCACCACCACCGACGGCCGATGCTATGCTGTGCTATTTATTTATGATTGGAACTTATAATTACGTGCGTACTCCGATCGTAGTGTTTATTTTTTTTATATTCCGCAGTTGTGATATGGGAAGAAGAATGGATATGTGGTGATTTGGGGAGGATAGGATATATCAATCTCAGTCCACACGTAGAGGATAATGGATGTACCATAGATAGATGGTATATGTGGTGATGATAAGATCATCTATCTACCTATCATTTGTCCACGCGTGCTTATATACCCCACTTCCCTGTACCGTAGGATCATCCACATCCATGCCAAAAAATGACCTTGTTTTAATCAATTTAATAAAAAATGGGGTAAAACTTTTTTTTGTCCGAGTAACATCAATGATATATTACTGCATGCAAATCGAAATGTAAGTTGTCTAAAACAATGCTTTCAATGTAAACAATAAAAAAGGAATCTAATTTCTTATTTACTTTACCTAAATAATGCTACCTCCGTCCCATAAATTAAGTCTCATTTCAATTTGGACCGGAGTTTAAGAAAGTAAGAATAAAGTGGACATGTATGATTGTGGTTGAGTAAGAAAAAAGTAAATCAATGTTAGCCACACAAAATTTTCCAAAAAGGTAAATGGGAACAATTTTTGGGACAGTCCAAAAAGGAAAGTGAGACTTATTTTATGGGACGGATGGAGTATATATATTTTGTTTTTAATATTAAGACCACAAAATGTTTTAAGGAAATCGTTTTTTTGCAAAGGAAAATCGATCTAAAAAAAATTATTCAATAAAAAGGTTTTATTTTGTGATTATGAAATACAATATACGTATTTTATGTAGACTAATAAAATTTTGTAATGAATTGGTAAAGAAAAAACTATTTCAGTTGTAATTTGATTAGTTAAAGACTTAAAGATAATGATAAGTAAAAAATCACAAATAATTATATGTAACTCACGCATAATTAGCTGTAACTGACGCATAAAAGTATGTAACTCGCGTACAAGAAGATGTAACTCACGCATAACAAACTGTAACTCACACATAATAACATGTAACTTGAGCATAAGAAGATGTAACTTCGTATATTAGAAAATTTTCTTGAGTGTTGATTCCTTGTGTACTGTAGCCCTCGATTGATAGGCAGCCTTCGGCAATTAGGTCCCTTGAGATGAGGGTGAAATATGTAGGACTTAGAAAATCTTCTAAGTGTAGAGTTTCCCTTGGGAGCCTTCGTGAGGTGGCATCCCTCCATGATGTATGAGTAGCTGACCGGGGGGGGGGGGGGGGGGGAATATGCAGGACTTAGAAAATATTCTAAGTGTAAAATCTCCCTTGGGACCCTTCGGGGGAGGACATCCCTCCTTGATGTATGAGTAGTTGACCGGGGAAAAGCATGTAGAACTTAGAAAATATTCTAAGTGCAAAATCTCCTTTGGGAGCCTTCGGGAGATGGCATCCCTCCTTGATGTATGAGTAGTTGACCGGGGAAAAGCATGTAGGACTTAGAAAATATTCTAAGTGCAAAATCTCCTTTGGGAGCCTTCGAGAGATGGCATCCCCCCTTGCTGTATGGCCTTCGACTGTCATATTCCTCTAGTTGCAATACTGACTGAGCCGGGGGCCCATCTTTAGGACAAAGATTTTTTTTTTGTTTGCAAGTGTTGTCGTATCGCATAGCCTTCGGCTATTGTATTCCCCTGGTTGTAATGTTGATTGAGCCGGGGGCCCAATTTTAGGACTTGGATTTTTTTTTTCAAGTGTTGTTTCTTTGTGTAGCCTTCGGGAGATAGGTGCCATCTGACTCTGCATTACTTTGCGAGATGCCTGGTGGCTACTAATTTAGGACTTAGAATATTTTCTAAGCGTAAATTGGTGTTGAGCTTCCGGATGTAGATCCCTTGTGTTGTATGAGTCTCTGGCCGAGGGCCAAATATGTGTGGAATCCTGTTGTTGTGAAGAATGCCAACGATGAGTGTGTGCCCTTGGCATAATTTTTAAAAGGTGTAGATTTCGACCCTTGCTGGAGCCTTCGGTGCCTGTGTGACCGGAGGTGACCAGGCAGTGGACTTAGCCGTTCCCTGATGATATTTGTTTGAGCAGTGTCCTTCGGGAAATAGGAGCCTTCAGTTACCGGAGGTGTTCCTGTGGGGAGCCCTCGGTTTGTTGTGATCTGTTGGAGTGTACTCTTTGATTTCTCGCTGAGCCTACTCCCCTTCACCCCCTCTTTTTTTTTTTTTTTGGTTGGTGGTGAAGGGAAGGCATCAAGAAACTTGGTTTCTTGGTAAGGCTGGGCCTATTAGGAGACCATCAGAATACACCAATGGCTCTCCTCCCTCGGGTTAACCTTCCCAACAGACGTTTGGAAGCTGATAGGAGAGCATATCCCTGGCACTGGGTGCCGAGGGGTCTTCTTTGAAACATTGGGTGTTTTTCTTCATTTCGATGTTTGATGATGGATGTGTACCCTCGGCACTGGGTGCCGAAGGGTCTTCTGTAGGAACACTTGGTGTTCTCATTTTTTTTTTCTTTTTTTTTATGATGAAGGTGGGAATGTACCCACGACACTGGGTGCCGAAGGAAAATGAAACACATGGCGTTCCTTGGTGTTGGTGATAGGAGTTCCCTCCCTCGGCACTGGGTGCCGAGGGGTCTTGACTGAAAACACGTGGTGTTTTCACTGTTTGTTGTAGGTGTTGATGGTGTCCTCCCTCGGCACTTGGTGCCGGAGGGGGTTCTTCTCGTGGTGAGGCCTGGGGCCTGTAGTCAGTATGAGGGCTTGATGTCTTGAATGTATCTTCATTCTTCGAAATTGGAGGCCTTGAGCCATAGGATAGTACATTCACTAGTTATGAGGGCTTGGCCGCTCTTACATTATTGATAAAATTTAACTAAATGGTGTACATTCCAGTGCCTAGGGACTTCTTTCCCATTGGGGCGTTTTAGCTTCTAGGTCCCAGGTTTGATGATGGCTGCTATGATGTAGGGGCCTTCGAATTTTGGTGCCATTTTTCCTCCCTCGGTTGGTTGGCTGGCTTCCCTCCTCCGGAGGACATAGTCCCCCACTTGAAATTCTCGGGTGCGAACTTTGGCGTCGATGTAGCTTTTAACCTGCCTTCGGTAGTTTTCTGCCCAGATGAAGGCCTGCTCCCGGCGTTCTGAAATGAGGTGGAGGTCGAGGGCCATGTTGCTGTCGTTGACCTCGGGGTCATATTGGATCACCCTTCGGGTGGGAAGGGTGACTTCCGTAGGGGCTTTGGCTTCAAAACCGTAGCAGAGGGAGAAGAGTGTTTCACCTGTTGCTCGCCGAGGGGTGGTGTGATAGGCCCAAAGGATGTTGTGGAGTTCTTCCACCCAGCCACCACCCTCGGCCTCCAGCTTCTTTTTGAGGCCCTCGAGCAAGGTCCGGTTGGCGTTCTCTACTTGCCCGTTGCCTTGAGGGTAGGCAACGGAGGAGAAGGTGTGTTTGATGCCCCATGCCTCCAGAAGGGCGCAGAAGGGGGCTACCTCAAATTGTGTCCCGTTGTCGGAGATGATCTGCTGGGGGACGCCAAACCTTGTGAGGATGTTCTTGAGGACGAAGTGACGGCACTTCGCCTCTGTGATGCTGGCGAGGGGTTCAGCCTCCACCCACTTGGTAAAATAGTCGACGGCCACAATGATGTATCTGTTGTTGGAGGTACCCCTCGGCAGGGGGCCCACAAGGTCTATCCCCCATCGAGAAAATGGGACAAAGGTGCTGATGGGGGCATAGTTGACCGCTGGCCTGCCGGGAGCTTTCTGGAAATGTTGACATGCGGTGAACCTCCGGGCAAGGTCAGCACAGTCCCTGGCCATAGTTGGCCAGAAGTAGCCCTGGAGAATGAGCCTTCGGGACATGGAGAAGGGTCCCTGGTGAGCTGAGCAAGTGCCACTGTGCACTTCCTCCATTGCGACCTCGACTTCATCTGGATGAAGGCACCGAAGTAGCGCGCCATTGTAAGATCGTTTGTAGAGCCTCCCATCTTCGATGGTGTAGCTAGGAGCCCTCAGCTTTTCCAGTTTAGCGCGGGCCTCATTCTCGGGTAGCTGCCCTGTGGAGATGAAGGCGGTGATATCTGAGATCCAATCCTCCTGACGTTGTTGTATGTTCATAACGGGGCTTGCATGGATGCTTGAGAGGCTGAGTTCCTCGATTTTGGCAATTTTGGAGATGTGCTCGGGGGAGTCGGCCGAGAGCTTAGATAATATGCCGGCCTCGGAGTTCTGAGCCCTCGGTATTTGAGTGAGAGAGTGTGCCTCAAATACCTTAAGCAACTCCTTGGCCGCTTCCTTGTACTGTTTCATTCTCCCCTCCTTGGCCTCATATTCCTCGGAGATTTGACCAACGACCAACTTGGAGTCGCATTTGATGTGGATCTGCCGAGCCCTCATGTTGGCAGCCAGCCGAAGGCCACATAGGAGGGCCTCATATTCGGCCTCATTGTTGGAGACCTTGAAGGAGAAGCGGATTGCATAGTAGGCCCTGAAGCCCTCGGGAGTAATGAGGACTACCCCTCCCCCGCATGCTTTGGTCGCGGAGGAGCCATCAGTGTAGAGGGTCCACCAGTCGTCCGAGGTAGCCGAGGGCTCCCCGTCCGTGGCTGCCCTCGCGGTACATTCCGTCACAAAGTCCGCCAGGGCTTGGCCCTTGATGGCAGGCCTTGGACGGATGTCAATGTTGTACTGGCTCAAGAAGATAGCCCATTTCACCATGCGAAGGAGCTGGTGGGGCTCCTCATGAGGGCGCCGAGGGGTTGATGGGTGAGGACCTGAACCGGGTGAGCCTGAAAGTAGTGGCCCAACTTCTTGACAGTCCAAACGATGGCTAACACCATTTTTTCCACAGCGGAGTACCTGAGCTCGGCCTCCCTTAATGTCTTGCTAACGTAGAAGATGGCATGTTGGATGCCGTCTTCCTCCCGGATGAGCACAGAGCTGATGGCCGCCGGGCTAACCCCAAGGTAGAGGTAGAGGGTCTCCCCTACCTTGGGTTTGGAGAGCACATGAGGTGAAGATAGATATCGTTTGAGCTCGTCGAAAGCCCCCTGGCATTCTGGAGTCCATAGAAAGCCAGCCGTCTTCCTCATGATCTGGAAGAAGGGTAGAGACTTCTCCGCCGATTTAGATAGAAAGCGGTTGAGGGCTGCCAGGCGGCCCGTCAACCGTTGAACTTCCTTCACGTTGCGTGGGGGCTCCATGT